ATCATGCCCATTTTACAGACAGGGAAAGTGAGGCAGAGGGAGGTGGGGGAGGGACTTGCTCACAGTGTACAGGAAGTCAGCAGCAAGACAGGGAATAGAACCCAGGAGTCCTGATTCCCAGTCCTGTGCTCTTTAAATCCTCCTGGGCACTGGAGGAGGATGTGTTAGCAGGAACCTGTGGTTCGTGTGTTCCAGGTGGATGTGGCAACCTTGTTTTTAAGCTAGGCCAGGGGGTGGGAGAGGTCAGTCCACATCCCTGGTGGCACTTCCCCCTGGCCCATATTTTGCCTGCATTAAATCCCCCCTGATCTCCACATCTGTGCCCATCCCCCTGGCCTGGCCCGACCCTTAGCTGAGTGGGGAAGTTTGCCCTGAGCAATAAGACACCCCCACTGCCCAGACAAGGCTGCATGCCCACCAAGCGAGCATCTGGGACTGGGCACCCAGGCTACATGGGTCAGAACCGAGTCCCCAGGATGCAGTGGTTCCCAGGAAGGGCATGCGTGGCTCAGTGGGAACTGAGGGCACCCATCACCTTCCCTATTCCCATTTCCACTGGAAGCCAGTAGGGCCGAGGGGCTCCCCGCTCAAGGGAGGGGATCAGCTCCTTCCCCCTCCCACCGGTCTCAGGCTCCCTCTCCCCATCTGCTCTCCTGACCTTCACGGGGCAAAGACAATTCCCAGTGTAGAAGCACGGTTCCCAGAACACTGGCAAGGTATTAATAACTGTGCTTAGCACTGGACAATTCCTGCTTCCCGCGGTGTAATCAGACCCCCAGCACCTGCGGCAAGGCTAAGACATCAATTCCTAGCAGTGCTGAGCTCGGTACAGGCCCCCCACTGTGCTAATCCGCAGAGGATCTGACTGCCCCCCCCCTCCCACACACACACACTTTGGAGTCTGTGCTCTTCATTCTCAAGCTTGTAGCTCTGGAGGTCCCTGGTCGGTTCAATCCAGGTTGGCCAAAAGGGTGGCTGTCACATAGAGGCCGTAGGTAAGGCCTTGACCCAACCTCTCCTCAGCCACTTCCTTCACTGCAGCCCACTCCCCCAGTGCCTTATCTGGACACATCCTCGCACCTGGCATCCCATGGTGGCAGCTGATAGAGGGTTCACTCCTGCCTGGTTCACTTGGATGAACTGCAGCCAGCCATCTGAGGAGGTTTTACAGCGAAGAGATTTCAGCCCCTGCCCTTTGAAGGGGATGCATTCCCCGATTCCAAGGCCAGAAAGAACAACTGAGCTCTAATCTGACCTTCTGGATAGCACAGGCCATAGGACATCCCCCAGTTCTTTCCTGTCTCAACCAGAGCAGAACTTTGAAAAAAACTTTCACTCTTGGCTTTAAAATGGCCAGTCAGAGAATTCACCACAACCCTTAGTAAGCTGTTTACTGTGGTTAATTACCCTCATTGTTAGAAGGGTCTGCTTTATTTCCACTCTGAATTCGTCTAACTTCTACCTCCAGCCACTGGGCACCGCTTAGTTAGCGAGTTATCAGCTCGCACCCCCTGCAGACAATTCTTTGTATACCAGGCACTTCCTAGTCGAGATCAGGGCCACATTGTGCTGTGTGCTGTACATGCTCATAGCCCTGAAGTCACTCCCGGCCCCAAAGAGCTCATGATCAGACAGACATTGGGAGGGGAAAACTGAGTCACAGAGGAGCAGTGCCTAAGGTCAGGGGCAGAGCTGGGAACTGAATGCAGGTCTCCTGACTCCCAGTCTGGTGCTTTGTCTGCTAGATCCCACTGCCTCCCACAGAACAGATACTGCCCTAACAGGGCAGGGGAAATGTGCCGTGTGCCTCTGCCTTGACCAGGAGGATTAAGGAAAGAAGAGTTCAGTCCTTCTGGCCCATTCAGTTCTAGGCCTCTCTGCTGATGCTGGTGACAAGCAGCCTGATTCCCTGTTATCCTGCATCTTGGGCCCTCATTCACACTCAGACAAGCAGTCCCAGTTACAGCAGCAGGGTTTTACACTCCCGATTGCAGGGAGGGTCTCTGCCTGCCTTTCACCCTCTCTTGGGGTGAAGCTAAGCTGGGGAGGCCAGTTTTGCATGGGTCAGAGGTTCAGGGCAGTTCTTGTGGCAGTGAGTTCCAGCTGCTGGGAAAGTGCCCCCGTAACCCACGTTGATATGAGCCTGGCTCTTTGTCCCCGTTAGTGTCTACATGACATGGAGGTTTAGGAGTACAATGGGAAAGGAATTTTTTCCCACCAACTTTTTTTGTTGTTGGAAAATGCATGTGTCAAAACCAAAATTCTGTAGGAAAAGGGCCATCGTGGCAAATTTCCCATTTTGGGGAAGAAAAGAAAAAAAGGAAAGTTTCAAAGTTGTTGAAAGCCCCATTTTGACGTTAACAACAACAACAAAGTTAGGTTTTTGGTTCCAAATGTCTTTTCATTTTGAAATGTTAGCTAATTTCTAGTAAAAAAAAAAAAAGTTGATAAACCTCAAAATCAAAACCAGAACACTTCAGTTGACTCAATCCAACTGTCCCTAATGGGACAATTTTCAAGAATTCAGAATCCAGACAGGAATTTGTCCCGCACCGGCCCTCAAACCTCAAACATTCCCATGGGACAGAAAAGCTATTTTCCACCTTGCTCTATGGAGGAGTTTGCTACTCATGAGCTAAAGCAGTGGGTTTTGAAGTTTCATTCGTGGACCCCTAAAAAATTTCAAATGGAGGTGCTGACCCCTTTGAAATCTTAGGCATAGTCTGAGGGCCCCCAGGGCTCTGCAGACCACAGGCTGAGAACCAGTGAGCTAAAGGATCTGGTCCTTTGCTTCCGGCAGTAGCAGCTCATGCTTTTAGATCCAGGGTTCAGTCCCTGCACATTGACCCTGCAAAGGGGACATTATTAACACAGGATCAGGACTTCCCCTTGTGATGAGATGGTTCCTGAGGAACGCAGCTGTGGTGTTAGGTTATGGAGTGGGATGGCCGAGGTCTAAAGGCTTGGATCTGGCTAGAGTTTACTTGTCTGATTAGAGTTTAGCCCAGCAGCCCATGTATAGCACACCTAACACCCAGCATCTGAACACAACCTCACACCAGCAGAGGAAGACATTCCAGTGTCTCCCAGTAACATCTGGGAGACGGATGAAGCTAGGACAAGCCGAGTATTTCTTTTGGACCATGAGCCATGAACAGGGGAACCGTAGGGGTTCTTCCGCCCTTGGCAAACCAACAAACTTCTCTCCCCACCCCAGCTGGGAGTGAGCCACAAACACCCACACTGAACATTTTGCTCCTTGCACACATTTGCATCCAGCCATAGCTTGCAGAGCCGTAGCAGGAATGAATCTCTCCATGCTGCAGAGCACCCAGGCTACCTGCAGAGGGAAACAGAGCTCCATCCAGCTCCATATGCAGAGCTGTTTTCCTTCCTCTCAGGAGAAGAGAAAGCCTTGCTCGGCTTGAGTCAGGAAGCAAGTTCTCAAGTGCAGGTGGGTGATCGCAGTGGTTTCCAGGGCATGGGAGACAGATTGACTGGATCCCATCCACCCAACAATTCAGACTCCGGGGTGATCACACCCATTCCCAGCCCCTTCAGAGCAGATTTCTTTTACACTCGAAATGAATTCCAGATCCTGACTCTTCCTCAGTCGGGAGATTCGGCTGCAACATTAACCCTGGAATAGCTACAGATCCATCATTGACCAGAGGGAGTTGCCCCCACACACACTCATGAGCCTACTTCTGCCGCTCCAGACATACGCCTGGCATGACCAAAGCCCCCATGGAACCAAGTAATGATGCAGGGTTAGAGCAGACACGCATCATCCCCTCAGCAAATGCACAGGCCAGAGTACAACCAGAAGGGACCTGCAGGGAAGCCTCCAAGTACAAGCAACTGCTTGGGGCCCTGTGCTTCTGGAGGGTGGGAGGGAGATTTTGCTCATGGGCCAGCCTGAAGCTGCTTCCGTCGGCAGGGATGAATCATAGAATCCTAGAATATCAGGGTTGGAAGAGACCTCAGGAGGTCATCTAGTCCAAGCCCCTGCTCAAAGCAGGACCAATTCCCAACTAAATTAAAAGCTGGAGACAAGTCACCTTCTGATCCCACTGGGCAGCTCGTGGATACCACGCTGCATCGCTGACCCTGCATTCACACATGCCATGGATAGGAGGCAACAGGGCTGGGCTGGGTGACCCGTGCTACCAAGGCCAAATTGGAGGAGGAGGGGGTTCCTCCAGAAGCGGCACGGGGACCTTCTTTCAGGGGCCCACCATTTCCACAAAGGGCACAATATACCCTGGGCACAAGCCACTGAAAGAAACCCCAGCAGCACATTCCATACAGGAACCTGGGAAACAGCCATGGTGACCCAGGCTGAAAGTGTGGGATGGCGTAAAAATAAGCTGGGCGAGGGAGGGGCCTTCCAGGTCTGTCATGTTCATATGGCTTTATAATGCTGCTCCCTTGCAGCCAATCAGATGGGACTGCTGGGGCGGGATGGAGGGAAGGGGCCACGGCGGGGGGACAGTGGGATGCTGCACAGATCCACCTAGGGGATTTGAAGCCCAGACTGTTCTGGATCTCAACAGCTGCTCCAGGCATTAATCCTCAAAGCGATGTTCTAGGAAGGAGCCGGGGATTATGCAGGATTATGACCGGCCTGGACAGGAGGCGGATAAGAGACTGACCCTCCCCGCCCCAATTCCCACCTCCAGGGCAGGAGTGTCTCGGCAAGGCTGCTCCAGGGAGACTGGTCTGATGGGGCCACTGGGCAGGGCCGGGCACAAAAGGGAAGGCGCTCTGCCAGCATATGGGGGATTGGCAGCGTTGGCACTGATGTGGGGGCAGATGGATTCCCATTCCCCACCCTCCCTCGCCTGGTGGTCCCAGGTGGAACTTTACAGGCTTGGGAAGTTCTCGATGTCGCTGGTCTGGAGGGGAGAGATTCCCAGTCCCTTATCCAGAACCTGACACCAAACGGAGACAACCCAGGCCCCAGCCCCAGTTCCCAGCCCCATCTCCGTGCTCGTTACCTGATCCCTCGGGCGCTGCGCGGGAGAGGATCCGCTTCACCAGACAGCATTTCAGCAGCGCCTTGCGCGTGAGCTGCGGCTTCTGCCATTTCACATGCCCCTTCTTCCCTGGGGGAGTGTGACCTGAGTCGCCCAGCAGGCTCCCGTCAGTCTCCTTGGTCTCGTCCTGCAGCGGAACACAGCCCAGGTCAGCGCCCAGAGGTGGGGAAGTCACATAGGCAGCCAGGTTCCTACTCACCACCTGCAATTACCCCTTACAGTGCCCCACGCAGGTGGGCATGGCGAGCTAGGAGATATCAATGCATGACAGCTACCAGCAGAACTGGGTCCAAGCCCCAGAGCTCTGATTGCCCCCAAAGTCAGGGGGACACATTTGACCCTGGGGTTCGGACCCCATCTGTAATAACTGCTGTTCACACACACACACTGCATCTTCATGTCAGGCATCCTCTCTCATGCCAAGAGGATGTGACAATCCCCCCCCCCCCCCCGAGTTAATCAACACAAGAGCAGAGGGAGAGGGCGCTGTGGGGCTAATGCAACATCAGCCTATGGACTAGGGTGACCAGATGTCTTGATTTGATAGGGCCAGTCCCAATTTTTGGTTCTTTTTCTTAGAAAGGCTCCTATTACCCCCCATCCCGTCCCTATTTTTCACACTTGCTGTCTGGTCACCCTACTGTGGCCCCTCCATGCCAGCTCGACTGGAGCAAAGGGGCCACAAAGCAGGTACGAGGCCGGTCTGCAAACATGCCCATGTCCCTGCACCACCTCTAAGCACAGGAGGCATTCGAGTGGGGGGCGCGCCGGGCAGAGGTGCAGCATGAGCAGGCAGGGACATGGCGGGGGTGGACATGCACTCCAGCCATTCTGCACCCCGAAGCCTCACAGCGGACCCCAAAGCAGGGGCACAACTTGCAGCAGAGCGGCTCCAGGCAGGAGATGCAAAGGAGGTAGCTCTTGCACCGGGAGCCGCAAGGGGCGGTGCAGAGACTTGTGCGAGCAAGCCGGGAAGCTGGCACGAGCAGGCCTCCAATTCTGCCCTCCATTACACCCCCGCTGGCTTTAGCAGGATAGCAGAGGGCTGGATGCGGCCAGTTTGGGAACCAGCTCCTGCAGTGACTGGGCGCAGCGTGGGCCACACAGGGGCAGAAACATTCTGCCTGTGGAGCAGGAGCTTTGGGAGTTGGCGGGGGGAGCTGCCCCGCATTGGAGTCGGAGAGCGGCAGCAGACTGAGATCAGATGTGAGACGAACGGGGAGCAGGGCAGGCACTGCAGAGGAGGCGGCTCTCGCGGCCCCAGCGACAGGTTTCGGCAGACGCCCAGGAAACCGGAAAACCTCTGGCCATCCCCATCCCTGATCTCCAGCCCATCCCTGCCCCGTGCCATGCTCTGCACAGAAATTCCCCCAGAGCATTCTGCCTCCGACCAGGACCATTACGGGTGCATTCCCAGTCCCCATAGCTGTCACCCTGCACAGCCCCCGTTCTCATCCCAACACACACACACACCCTTCCACCCCACTTTAGCCTGCCTGCAGGGGCAGTTCTGAAGAGATGCTGCCACAGGGATGAGACGATGGTGGTTTCCTAAGGCCCAGCCTCTTCCTCTTTCCTGAGGAAGGGGTGGCCTGGAGTTGTAGGAGTGCTAGACTGGCAACCAGGTGCACCAAGGTCCGATCCTGACGCTGACACAGACTCAGGGTAGCCTTGAGCCTGTTTCTTAGCCTTTGTGCCTCATTTTCCCCTCTGTGACGCCAGGATGACAGTTACAACCCTACTTCACTGGCAGGTCGGGACATCCGAAGTGTTTTACGAACACTGAACTCTTCCGATGGGAGGTGCTGTCCTTTGCCCAGTGCCCAAATACCACAACGATGGGCACTTAGAAACACATGTAAGGAGTTCAGGCTGGCATCACCGGTGCCCAGATTGCGGTTTCTAAATTCCGAGGAGCGCATCTGTAAAGATAACAGAGCTGCGTGTCTGCTGAATAATTGATGGTTTTATTCCATCTCCCACTGAAAAGAGAACCGACCTCAATCCGTCTGTCCATCAGAGCCAGCCTCTCTTTTCATTGCACGCAAGGCGATGTGACAATGTTTCGGTATGGGGGGGCTGCCTGGAAGTGATAACGGCATATCATTTGCGCCTGCCATCCAAGGAGCTCAGAGCCCTTGGTAAGCATTGATTAGCCAGCCAACGTCCCTGTGCCAAGGAAGGTAGACAGATACCGTTATACCTGTTTTACTGAGAGGAAAACTAAGGCACAGAGCTCGAGGCTGATATTTTCCAAAGAATCCACTGCTCTGGGGACCCAGCTTGCTACACTTCAGGTGTCCAGCCATGTAGCCAAAATGGAGGCAGGCCAAAAGCTTTTAAGTCACTTGCCTAAGACATCCCAGGACGTCAGTAGAAGAGCTGGGAGCTCCCAATTCCTTGCTCTGAGCCACTAGATTTCACTCCCTGTCTCTGGAAATATTGATTTCCCACTGCTGTCTGCAATTCACTCTGACAGTAATGAGGACTGTCTGTTTAGTCAGGCCATTCAGTTATTTGTGGCTTCATGCCAGACACATAGAGCCAGGGGCTGGCTTTAGCCGATCAAGCCCTAGGACCTTGCATGGTCTCACCTTAGGCCATGTGAGCCCTTTGCAAGTGGTTCTGCTGCCAGGCCACCGTGCCGGGCATACCAGCCACATGCGTGGGTACGACACTCTCAGGAAAGGGCAGAGTTCGGATTGCAGCCACCTGTCCTCAGGGCAATCTGGAGCCTGGGTGGCTTCCATCCACACCCTGCACTTCCATGTGAATAGGGCTTTAAAGCAACCCTGCTCACTCCTTCCCTTCCCCCAGCCTCGTCCCCTCCCTCTGGGTGTAACCCAGCACTCCAGCAAAACGCCTTTGACTTCTGTGGGCATCACGATGGTGCAAAGATCCTGTGATCACAGGGAGCCTGTGTGGAGACAGCAGCCTCTCTAAGCTCCATCTGGAACAACATCTGGACCTGCCTCCTCCTTCAGCTTTTCCTAGCCTGAGTAGTTCAGTGTGATTGGCCCAAGATGCCAGGGGAGATGCCCAGCTGGTAGGGAAGCAGCTGCCACCTATCCCATCTGTCATTCCTACCAGCCTGGCTCACCGCTGGCACAGAACCCGTCCCAATGGACACAGGTAAAGTTAAGAAAGCCAAGCCACCAAAGTGGGGGAGATTCAGCCAGCTCCCACGACGCGTCTCTCTTCAGCTCGAGTCACCCCGCTCGCAGACAAACTGCCGCGCCACACAGAACGTGTGTCCTGGATCAGGGCATGCTCGCTCCAGGGACATGCAATGCAGGATTCAACAGACCAAAGGGGCTCTGTGTTACCAAAGTGATTTGAGTAGTTCGGAGCCAGCTAAGCCCAGCAGACAGATGGCCGGGGAGTCACGGTTTTTAAAGCACGTTATAACTACAAATTTGACAAGCCAGTTTTAATTTTTAAATTACGGATTTTTCCAGCTAAGCAAAGTCAGGCTCGCTTAGCCTGGTGGCTCACAACGAATTCACCAGCGTGTCCCTCGGATGGCTGCAGGGTCGTCTGCTAGAAAGGCAGAGCGGGGGGAAGCTAACAGGTTTCCTGGGATTTGCCCCCAGAGGCTCCTGCCAAAAAGATATCGGGGCATCCCAGGCTCTGAGAAGAGAGCCGATGTAGCGATGCCAACAGGAGAATCTGAGAGTCTGGGATAAGGGCTAAGACATGTCCCAGCACAGGGCGTCGAATAGAATTCAGAAGAGGGGAATTGGGACTCAGGACCCCTAGGTAAGTTTCTTCTTCATGACTGTGCTACTGAGTCAAGTCCAGTGAGCCCACGCTGGGGCAGAGTCGGGATCCAGGCGGAAGTCACTTATCTTGGTCCGTAACCATCTCCCCAGCACTTCCTTTCTACATATCAAGCTATTTTCTAGGTGGACCAGGCTTCACACATCACACCCAATACACCATTGGCAGTGGAGAAAACCAGAGACGCGCACCAAGGGGGTGGGAGGGGGAGGGGGAAGAGCAGCTCTGGTTTCTGAGAGCCGGTGAGATATTGATGTGTTGCAGCTGGAGAATCGTCACTCCTGCCAGATGGTCGTCTCCCCCCGCCCCTCCACCACCCGTGCAGGTGAGCCAGGGGGTGAGATTCTATGGCTGGCAAGTTTTGGGGGGAGGTGGATTTGTGCACACACGGAGCAGAAGCAAAAGCTAAAGTCTTTCCTGCAGGAGAGCGCCCATCAACCAAGTAAGGGCTGGAGGGATCGGGCAGGGAACACAACATGAAAGGACACCAGAGTCAGAGCAGCTGTTGGGCTAGAAGAGAGGAGGTTTGGCAGCAGTCTGGGCGGACTTGAGAGGAACCAGCCTGGATCCAGTCTGACCGAAGGCTCCTCCATCTACTGAGCCCATCGCAGGCTGCTCGTGGGACCCTCTGCTTAGCCTGACTGATGATTTTACAGAGCCCCAACATTGGGCCATCGATTGTCTGCTGAGGGGTAGGGGGTGGGAGAGATGACACAGGAGGAAACTGACTTTCATGGCTTCACCTCCAGAAGAGAACATAGGAGCGGCCAGACTGGGTCAGACCAAAGGTCCTTCTAGCCCAGTGTCCTGTCTGCCGACAGTGGCCAGGGCCAGGGGCCCCAGAGGGAACCATCAAGTGATCCATCCCCTGTGGCCTATTCCCAGCTTCTGGCAAACAAACAAACAAGAGGGGTGGCTGCAAGGCTGCTGAGGGTCCTGTTCCCAAACCTGCAGGGTCCCTTCCCACCCCTTGTCTTGCTTTAAGCATCTTCCTGCTCCACCAGGGTTGAGAAGTGACAGGGAATCTGGGCAGGGGGAGGCATGACCCATATGGCCTGCTCTGTGCCATGCTTGACACCCGCAGTGCAGCATCTGTCCTTCCATGTGACGAGCCCCTCATCGCTGCCCATCAATAATGCACAGCGCTTCCCCTTTTGTTGTCAGCTTTCCCAGCTTGTTCATTATTTATCAGCATGGGCTAATTCCACCTGACAGGTGCACCTGTTCCTGGGAACCTTGGCCCAGCCAGATACCGCCCAGGTCAGAACTAGACAAAAGGAGACACGGCTCATTGGAGACACATCCCAAGAGCCTCCAGCACAAACGCACACTTCCTAAACTTCTGCT